ATTTATCATATTTTTAAAGAGAACATAAATTTCTAACAAATTGGTAAAAAAGTAATAATATTTACTAAGTAAAGACATAAAAAAATAAAAAATAAATAGGACGATAAATGGGGTAGGAGACATGCCATGCCTCGCCTCTATCCCGCCCCATCCCGCTTTAAACGGGTATGGGGATGTGGTAAGGTAACAAAAATACCCGATGGGACGGGGTTGGGAATGGCAGACCCGTCTCATACCCGCCTCGTTACCATCCCTACAAATAAGCACCAGATCACACATTCCATCAGCCATGTAAGACTGGAATTAGTTCACAGTAATTTAAAAAAAAGTTGGCAGTCAAATTGAAAAAAAAAAGGTTCGATGACCAACATTTGACAAACTTGTAAGCAATGTTTGATGCAAGGAATCAGCCTCAAGATAAACCAATAAAATAATTCAAAGAAAAAAAATACAAAAACACATGCACAAAATTAGCCATGGACTTCTTCAAGATCCATAGAGTAAAACAAATGAACAATATTAAAAATCTAAATTGCAAACAAATATAGAGAGATTGACGAAGTAATAATTCTTAAATTAGTAGTCACTTAGCAACGTTATAATCCACTATCAGAGTAGAAACAACTTAAAAATCTCTCATATTATCACTAAATAAAGGATTTTTAAGGGAATCATCAACATCTTCCTCTTCTTCACTATCAATTTTTTCACATTCTTCATTATCATCCTCCACTTACAATGGTGTATTCCTCCGTCCTTCACATGTAAGGGGAAAAAAAGCCATAAAATATTCCAGGTTTAAAGAAACGGCCCAAAAAGTTATACCTAGTAGTTAAATGTCCATAAAAAGCAAGACAAACTTGCAAACAATTTAGTAACCTTAAGGCATAAGCCCACAAATGGCACTTAAAAGTGTAGGATCAAAGCATTTTCTATAAGACTTACATGAGGGAGGATTCAAGGCACAAGTCTCGAATAGTTTTTTTAAACAATGCTTGTAAGTTGGGTGACCTCCATTAACATTTTCTCACCAAGTGAAGTCACAACTTTCTGCGGCAAAGGACCTACAACAGAGACCTGCAACATGTAGCTTCACTCTTTTCTTCTCTCTTTTTCTACAAACATTCCTATATTTTTCTTTTTCCTACCTTCATACAAAAGAGGAAGGAAACAAAAATGCACAATTGGCAGTGGGAAAATAATGGAGCTGAGGAAATGGGGAAAAAATCATAGTTATGAAGAGGAGGATTAAACAACTAGATACGTTGACCACACTCTAAAATATCTATGAGTAGCAATGATAGGCTGTTTTCAGTTTTGCAAAATACTAAAATCGTATTTGGTTCGGTATTTCTTTTTGATAGGTTTTTTTTTTTTGATAGGAATTTGGTCCGGTATTTCTAAAAATACATTTTTGAAAACAAGGATAAACTTATAATATAAAACTTAAAACGCATTTTTTTTAAGTGTTTCTAGTAAAAATTCTGAAAACAATGGAAAACAAGCGTTTAAATAAAGTTTTATTTAAACAAAATTTTTTAAAATATAAATATAAAATTTTAACAAATAAAATTTAACAAAATTAGAAATCAAAAATTTTAAAAATATATTAAAAAATAAAAATTCAAAATTTAAAATAAAAATATTGCAAGTTTTCAATGCTTATTTAAATAAAAATTCTAAAAAAGTATTTTTAGTAAACACAGATAAAAATATTCTTAATCCACATCACTAATCTTCATTTTTATTTCCTATATTTTGAACTCAATTTAATTTTTATTTTTATTTTACTTTTGTAGCGAAAAAAATATTGTAAGATTCACCAACTTTACATTGTGTATATTACATCATAATATATTAGATAAAAAAATTTATTTTTACTAAAGATTAAATTTCATGGAATAAAACGTCAAAAAATATTTTTTTTCAAAATTTCAAAGAAACGCATTTCTAGCATTCTTAAATTAGACTTTCAAACCAGAAAATTGAAAATGAATTCAAAACTCGAACCTGAAACACAAACCAAATGAGCCCTAAGACTTTTAGGCCTTTTGTAGTTCTAAAAGATATTACAATTGTCATTTGATTACCAATTTAACAATTTAATATTTGCTACTTGTTTGATATAAGCTAAGTTCGATTGCAAAAGACTTCGAAATTTTCTTAAAAATTTTTATTGTAAATTTTCAAGATCGTTAATGGTTTATTACGAGCATATTGTAACTTTCATATTTTTTGGATTATTTTATCAATTCGTTTTGAGGCATCTGTAAAATGTCTTGGCACTGATTGAACTTTTGCAGAAGATTTTTAATGCCTGTTCATTTTGCAAACACCCTTACAAGAAAGAAGAAGCGTTAAATACAAGAATTTATCTTCTAGACCTTATAGTTGATTCGAAGTCATCAAATGGTGCAACTTTATTCCATATGTGACTATTGTGTTTCTTCTAATAGCTTTAGTAGTACATACTTCTATATTGAAAGAACAATTTCAAGACCAAATAAGATAGCAGCAAAAGAAGTCCACTAAGGGTTATACCATCCAAATTGCAAAAATAACTATTTGAATCCCAAATTCATTAGCATCTATGCTCAAAATATTAAATGAAAAATAAAATTGGGAATTGGCTATATGGAAGAAAATGAAATTTATGATAGATAATAAAGATTTTTATTGCCCTATCACAGACATGTTTCTTCCAACCATTTTAAATTCACAAATTATAAAAGGATAAGATGGAAAAGCAAAAGGATTGATGTAACACATCAAGTATTGTTTATTCGTGAACCCATGTCTACATGGTAACAACATATGCATATACATTTAAGTCAAAGTAAACACCATTGCTTAAGCCCCACAAGCACTCCAATCTCTTTATTTACACTTTTTATTGTTGTGTTCCTTGTTGTACTCCTCAAGAATACAAAAGAAGTATAACAAGATAGTCCTTATGCAGCTTATTAAATAACCATTTTATCAAATATTTTTGAGCAGTTGAATAGAGCATAATTGGTCAACCTTTAGGCTACTATTTCACTGCTGATATCTGTAAATTCTAGTATCTCTCACAGTATCATATTCTAGCCTTGCCCATAGTCATAGCAAAACCTTACTTCGATTGGTGCTATTGAAAACATAAATAAATTCAATTAGCACAAACTAGAGAGGGAAAAGTGCATAGTGGTGCGCAAAAATACTACTACATATGCTACAACTTTGACAAAGCTATCACGTTAATAAAATTCAAGGGAACTAATATAATGTATGAGTTGCATAGTGCTCAAGCAAATCAACATATACTGCCATAAACATAATTGGCAGAGTGCAAATCATTGGAAATTTTTTAACAAAAAAATACAAAACAATACCTTTAGCTGGATCCACCACTAGAGGCTGTGAGGGAGGAGTGGGGCGCACAGGCTCAGTACCAAAGGCTTGTGCATATGTCTCGTCAAAAGCCTCGAAAAATGCCTTCCGGCATGCCAAAATTGTGGCCTTGTTCTTGATGAAATTGAGCATCAAATAATCATCAGTCAACGGCTTCAAGGCTAGCTGCTGCACAAAATTGAGCATTTCTCTTGGCTGGAAACTCTCTTGTGCTTCTTGGATCTGTCTCCTGGAGTAAACCCCCCCAGATTCATAACATCCAACGTCCACATTACAGTAGCCCTCAGCAGTTGTGGGCCAGAAATTGTACTTGTTTCGACACCGACAGGCCAACCCCAAACTGCGTCTCCTAGATATCTCACCCACAGCTTCTTCCACTGCCTTTAGAAATGGTCGTGAAGTAATTTGACTGGATTTTCCCGCAAAGTTCTCTTCAAATGGTATTAGCTCAGCAGGGTCGAACCACCCATAACTACTATCCCCAAAAAAAGCCACCAACAAATGGCCCTCGTGCTTCGTTCTCCTAACAGAAGGAGAAGCAAAGGCTTCGTTGTATACGTGACCAGGCCACCATGGGTGCGATTTAACTTTGCCCCACACCAAGTCACCAACTCTGTAACAGTGGCCAAAAGCTTCGTCTTTTCCTCCGCTGGCACCGCCGCCACCTCTGTCGCCGCTACCGCTACCACTACCAGAGGGAGCGAAGGCAAGTTCCTCGCCAAAGGCGTCGCTGTTGCTAATCATCGCGGATACCTTTTCGAGAGGTAACCTAGAAAGAGGAGGAGATATTTTGGAGGAGTGAATTGGGTGCGTGAATCGGTTTATGTTTGGAGCCAAACTTCTTATCGTTTGTTTTGGAGATACTGTGCCACTCGGTCTGATAAAATACATTTTTCCTCCTAAGTGGACAATTGTATATAAAAATTGTACATAATAAATTACATGTTATGATGCGCAGAAAAAAATTAGATGAAAAATTGATTGTGTTTTAAACTCGTAAACAGAGGCCGATCCAGGCCTGGGCTGGCCCGGACTACAGCTCGTCCTCGCCCAAGCCCAGATCCAA